TAATTGGTTCGATGTCTTTGACCTGTTCCGTCCACCACGCGTTCTTGGATCGCCGTTAGTCTCAACTTCAGGTATGTTTTGAAGTAGGTCGAACAGTGGTCTTGCTATTTTGGCAAAATCTTTGATGTAACGTCGATAATAGCCGATAAGTCCAAGTAACCGTCGAAGCTCTCCCACAGTTCGTGCCTTCCTGTCCCTTAGTGCCGTCACTGCCTCGGTATTGGCCGGGTCTAGTTGGTAACCGTCTGCTGAGACAATCTGACCAAGGTACCGTACTTGGGCTTTAAACAATTCACATTTCTTAGGTTTTAATTTAACGCCATGCTKTCTCAGCCGCTGCAAAACTTGACGTATGTGATTCACGTGATCTTCAAACGTCTTACWGAAGACAATAACGTCATCCAGATATGGTACGCATATATCATCTCGTAACCCCTCTAGGCAATGTTCCATAAAACGCTGGAACTCTGCCGGCGCATTCGTAAGACCAAAAGGAACTCTTACCCACTCAACAAATCCCAGGGGGTAATGAATGCGGTCATGTGCCTGCTATCAGGGTGGATGAACCCCTGGTGATACGCTTTACCTTGGTCCAATAGTGAGAACCAACAGTTCCCGCCCAGCTTTTCAAGAACTGTCTGGACGCGAGGCAATGGGTGGCGGTCGGAGATGGTCTTTTGGTTTAACTTACGAAAATCGACGCATAATCTGAGACTTCCGTCTTTTTTTCTAACACAAACGACCAGGGATGAATAAGCTGAGCGACATTGCTTTATCTACCCCTTATTGAGCATGTCCTCCACGTATTGTTTCACTTCCGAGTACAATGGTTTTGGGACTGCGAGGTAGCTCTGTTGAACCGGTACCGAATCTGTTAGCGTAATTGACATTTGTAATTCCTCTGCGCAACCGTTATCATCGTCGTTCGCCGAGAAAGAATCAATTTCTTCAACTAGCATTTTGAGAGCAAGTTCCTGTTGTTCAGCATTTAGACTGTCTAAATTAATCGTGTTTGCAAGTGCTTCCTTATCAGTAACTGAAACCGGGGTATTTGGGCAATTATCATCACCTAAATCATTAATCGATGTTTTTACACTGTTCACAGTTTGTGAGTTATTGTCAATATCCGATGATTGGACAAGCTAAACTTCAAGTGGCGTGACAGAACTCACTAATTGAAGTTGTCCTAACAGCGTCTTCCCCTTCAATGTGATGTTGTGATTTGATTGGTTGTTTATTTCTACACTCACTCGGTTAGATGACGGCAGGGTTCGTACAGTCTTGAAAAGTCCTTGATTTTTTACGAAAGTCCTTGTAAAGTCCTTAAGGTACTAGATACGGATAAAGTGGGGTCCAATTTAAACGAAATAGCTCAAACTGTACAAGACTTAAGTTGAAATGAAGTCCATAAGATATATCTGTATAGAATTTCCATCCGAAATTGCGTGTCAAAAGTGTGAATTTTCGCACTTAAGGTGTCGAAAAGCCACAGGCAATCCAATCGATTTTTTTAGTAAATGTTGAANATTAAGGGAAGCCCTACGAAAGGGTGATGTTAGTCCAAAGCAGGCAATGGAGTTAAGGCTTGATTGTAAAACATTTTTGATAACTGCACTTAAGAAAATCCTTTTCAAGTGTCCCATTTCTTATTCTTTGGTCAGAAATATGAGTGCCTTAGACCCAAGAGCTATGGCCAAGAATGCAGCAGACTGTAGATTTAAGATGAAAGGTATTATGGTTGCTTTAGTAAATGCAGATAAGGTCAAGGAAAGTGAATGTGATGGTATTCTGCATGAATTTGACAACTTCTTAGAGGCAATTCCTGTCATAGGAAGTGCTTTGTTTACAGGATTCGATCCGAAAAAGGACAGGGTTGATGAATTTCTTTCTAAACATATGTCAAGTGAATCCTACAAGAAGCTTCTTCAAGTGGTTAAACTTCTTTTAGTCCTATCCCATGGCCAGGCTTCTGTGGAGCGAGGCTTCTCTGTCAACAAAGAAACATCAGCTGATAACATAAGCCAAAGGACATTGGTTGCCAAACGTGTTGTATATGATCATATAAATGCAGTTGGGGGGGTGCTTAAAGTAGGTATTACAAAAGATCTACTGAAATCAGCATCTTTATCAAGAAAGAGGTATGAACAATATTTGCAAGATGAAAAGCGTAAGAAGACATCAGATGAACAAGAGAGAAAGAGAAAGCACTTGGAAGATGAAGTTGACAACCTCAAGGATCAAAGAAAAAGAATAAGACTAGATATTGATGCACTTAATTCAACAGCAGACTCATACTATGAAAAGGCAGAATCAACAGGGGATGTTTCTCATGTTACAAAGGCTAATTCCCTGAGGCGAACAGCAAAAGAAAAGTCTATGATGTTATTAAAAGTTGAAGAAAGTATCACCAAGAAAGTGAAGGATCTACAACAAAAATGACTCTAAGTTTGTCAAAAGTTTGTTATACTACGATATTGATTAAACATCAAATTAATTACTTTTATTATTGATTTTATTTATCCTTGAAAATATTCACTGGATCCTTAAAAAGTCCTTGAAAAGTCCTTGAATTTCCTACCAAAAATTCTGTACGAACCCTGATGACGGTTTAATCACTGTTAATTGCGTTTCCGGTATATCCAACCCATCAGGCCAACCGCGTATCGGGCACGCTTCAAAAAGGACTGGGACCCTCTGGTGATTGTGACCCACCCTGGCGTAGCATGAAATACGTGCTGACTGTCCGCGTGCGATAACAATATCCTGTCTGCCGGTCTTGATAGTACACAGCGCTTCCGGACGCCCTTTCTGTACAAACTTGAACAATGCTTCGATGTTCTCTACCTTAGCATCCGTCATGTTTGCACTTAACATCGAAATCACATCGCCGCTACTGGAAGTTGTGCCATGTCTACAGATTTCCTCGATGACATTGTAGCCCACTATCGGTGAATCAAGTGGACTACTTGTAACCAGGAAAGGAACACTGATGACGTTTTCTGGCCTCCCACCGTGTAAAGTAAAGCTTATCTCTACCCACCCATTGTAGGGAAGACTAGCGCCATTGGCTGTTTTGAGGTCAAGTTCATTTACCCCCAAAAGTTCCTCGATCCCCCGAATTGAAATAGTTGGCAAGTTACTAGATAGCCACGCACTAGATACAAGTGATACTTGCGCCCCCGTATCCCATAACGCCTCAGTTGAAATTTCGGAAAGAAAGCATTTTACAATACATCTGCGACCCACTAATCTTACTAGCTTGGACTGTTCTATGGGTGACAGATGGCTGGCAAAATGTTTCTTTATGTCAGGGTTAATCTCATTATTATCTTCCGATAGTTTTGTGATTGCAGCACAGAGTGTTCGCGTTGGCAACCATCAGAACAATACCTGACAGCTTTACAACGAGCGCATCTTTTAAATTGGGTTTCGTATTCAGTTTTTCCGCAGAACACACAAATATGGGACGTGTTGCCACCGCCGACTACTGCCTGTCCCTTGGCTGTAGTCGCCTGCCGTTTCCCGGAGCACGGGCAACCCTACAACCTCTGGCAAAATGGTCGCTTGACCCGCATTTAAAACAGTGATCACATCTTTTTGTGATTCATTTCATGCATCACAACGGTGGCACAGGCGCTGATTTGTAGCTGTTTGGAGACCATTATTTCCGATGCTTGCGTTGCTATTTGCGTTACTCGAATGGGCGGAAGTGGTGGCCTGTGATCTTTCAACAAAACCTTTCAAATATGAGAGGTCTGATTGAACAGCTTCTAATGCAGCCATTAGTTTGTTTGGTTTGGCTTCTTTTGTGCGATCTCCGTGCTGCGAGNCACTTTCTTTCTTGCTTGGTTGTTTTTCCTTTTCTTCCAATGGCGGTGTGTCCTAGTTGATAAAACTACCCCAAGTCGTCGACCAACTCCCCTTTGGCTTTGTCGTCCAACTTCTCTATTTTGGATTCAATTCCAGCGACGATTTTCCTTGTCATAGCTAGCCTTCGAGATCCCCCTTCAATTTCGATCTCCATTCGCTCCGCTTAGCCTACTAACTCGTCGAGGCTGAGTCCATAAATCTTTGACGTTAGCTCCATCAACTTCTCTTCGAACTCCATTGTCGGTCTTTTACAGCTTCGATTACGTCTCAATCATTCGCGTCCACTGTTGCTCCCAGGAGAACAACTTGAGCAGCAGACTTCCCGTCTGAGCCCCCAAAATGTTACATTCGCTTTCTTACGTTCTTTGCTTGGCTTTGGATATTAAAGACACTTGGTTTCGAAGACAATTTCGTAGTTTAATTATAGCTGTGTTACATTCGTTGACCTAAAAACTGATATCTAATACTCTCCCTTTTTACAAGAAAATTCATGACAAGCGACTCGCGCCACTCTCCCCACAATGACTCATGTTACAAATCAGGACAAATCATGCATAAAAACACTAACTAACATTTCGACCTCTTCTATCCAGCCGTTTGTTGACATATCAGGTTTATGCTAATTTAACTGCGTGAATGTAAATCATTTTGCTTAGATATGTCGAAAATTTAGGTTACGATTTTATTCAAACTTCGGCAGTATGTCAATTATGTTATTAAGAAATTATTCTGAAAGTTTTATTACAATCTCTGCGATGATTTTCGGGAAAATTAACCTTGAAGAAAAATGACGGTGTTCTTATTTTGCATCGTTTATCCACTTTATGGCCACTTTATTTCATCAGTCACGTTCGTCTTCGAGACTCAATATGGGATTTTTTCCTTTAAAGGGACATGGTCCACCTGCATCGCTTTCGAGCTTTAGTTTATGTTTGAAAATAGAAATACATCGTAATATAAGCAAAAACTTACTCTTTATTGTTCCTTTATCCTATATGAATGGAGATGCTTTAAGATTCGACCGTTAAACCGATGGATGGAAAGGGATTGCAAATGGATATTCAAAGTCACCTCATTTTCCATATATGAAAAATCTAAAACACGACCGCATTGCATGCTAGTGGACCATGTCCCTTTAAAATAACCAAGTTTTCAACTCATAATTATGTATTCGATAATTTTTATTGTTAATTCGGAGATTGCGTAAGTAATCGAAGAGTTATTGCAGGGGGACGATGTGTCACTCACTTTCCTGTTAACTTTTAAAGATAACCGGGGAAATATAACGGCTCTATAATGTCTAAAGCTGGTCTAAGAGACCATTTTCGGGGAAATATATTTGACTTACTTGTAGTACATCGTACTTAATCATTTTGAAGAAAGTTAGAAATTTGGATGGATAACGAAACGAGTTTTGTAGCCGAATTTGCCGGCGAAGACTGACCGCGATCGTAGGTTTGCTGATGTCATTACAGCAATACAATGTTTTAGCTGATCATGATAAGCTCCGTGGTACACTTCTCAATTTTACATTCTGTTAATCTTTTTTTCAAAATCACCCTACAATCTCCTAGTTGTTTTGCCATTGGCAGCTTGATTTAGACTTTTAGTTTATTTTCAAGCTGTAACAGTAATTCTTGGTCGGATATTCAAAAGCTCAAAGCTTAAATTTTTCTTATATTGCAAATCAGATATTTTCACATTCCTTTTTGTTCCATTATTTGTTTTTTTTATAATAGCATTCTGAGTTTTCCTAATGCTGCTTTCAATAAATTGCTGTCCACAAATCTCTGATTCTTTTGACGAAAATTGGTGCTCTTTTACCCTTACTATAATTCTAAATGTTGATATTTTCGTTTTCTAATTTAAGCCATACAAATAGTGCTTATATATCAGAAAAGGAAGCAAAAGGAACCCTGAAGCTGTGAAAACACTACTTATAAAACATCATCATGGTTACTAATTCCTTGTTTGTGTTCTTCAATTGTCATCTCGAAAACCAAGCTTGACATTTGCAGTGACTTCGGAAAGCATTTTGCGCTCGTTTCTTGCACATGGACTATTTTTGTGACACGTGTTTTCTGGTGATCGGACGCCTCACTCCATTGTTTGTTGACGTCCTTCTTGACACTTGTTTTTGCTAAAAAAAGAATTTGATCATTTTTTTTTTCAAGGAACAATACTGTATCAATATCAATATTGTTAAAGCAAGTCTTTGTACTTTAGAAGGCTAGAGTGAGTGGAACGTCCTGAACATTTTTTTGATACTGAAAACAGAAGCAGGTAAACAAGAAAGAGATGCAGCAAATTAAATAAAGTTTTCTTACACTCACAAGGATTTTGACTAGAATACGATTGTCTACTATTCATATTATCAAGTGGTCCTGGTTACAGTGTGCCCCCATTTTAATAGTTTAGAAAAATGTTAAAGTGGATAAATGTAAAAGGGATAATTTTGTGCTAGAGACAGTTTCTCAGAATAAAAGGATGATTGTTGAAATTGGTTGTTATTTTAGACAATAGTTGAAAGTATCAATTTAAAGAATCACTTTTTCAATTGCGGAAATTTATTCTGAACTTATGTGAGTCAACAATTACATATTGGCAACACCGAAAGACCGAATTAAGCTATTTAATTATGTCTTTGTTCCCTCTTTTATGAAATTCCGATTGCTTCGTGCTTCATAGCTTGTGTTACATCCGGAATTTCTGTCTAATTTCCGTCTGTGAACCAGCGCAGGGTCTAGAACACGGTTTCTTCCACTGGTTCACAGACAGAAATTAGACAGAAATTCCGGATGTAACACAGACTATCATATTCATTGCAGTGTTTGTACTGTTTCCTTACCAAATGAGAACATTTTTAGAGGAGCTGAAGGATTGCTGTTACCCCTGTCTTTATCAACAGGGCGTACTAGAACAGGAACCATCAAAGTCATTAGTAATGTATAAGAAAAGATTAAATATTGATGTTGAGTCAGTAAATCGCATACATTCCTTACGGAGTCTCTCAAATAAACTTTCTACTACCACCTGATAGCCCATTTGGCCTTCAGCCTCATGGGCTATCAGCTCGTTGTCCACTTGCCCTGGAGGCCTAATTAATGAATAGCCCACATGTTGAGTAACTATGCTTAAGCAAATATCAGAAGATTTCGAAATTTCATAACAAAGTGAAATGGTTCTGCCATCTTGGCCAAACTAAAACATCGAAATTGATTAAGAATTGTTTGAACCCTAGTCTCCGCGAAGCCGTTATGAAGCTCGTCCCCAGGTCACTCCCAGGTTAAAAATTCCTTTCTTGGGGATTGACCAGTCAGAGCGAGTTGCCTTCCATAATCTAGAAGGCTCATTAATATTCATCGAATCGATTATTTTCAAGATTACGGGTATACTTGTAGCTTTCGAAGTGGTTTGTAAGGTTTTTTTCTTATTGCTGATTTAAACGATTTAAATCTTCTAACGGGTTAGATGTTTCTAAAATTACTCCTTTTCGTGAATGCTATGGGAGATTTTATGAAGGAGTGATGTTGAGCAGAGACAACTTTTTTCTGCATAGAGAATGCTAAAAACATTGTGACCTATGCTGATTTTTGCTAGGATATTCAATAGACAATTTAACTTCAGTCTTTGTCGGCCTCATGTTTAGTTTCGGAGTTGAGTATGGCTGAATGATTTGGGTACACTTATGAACTGACGCCGAGTTTACACCTTTTATAGCACTGTTTTGCAGATTGCTCAATCCAATCTAGGAATCGGGAGAGATGAAGAACTAGAAGATGAACATGAATAATTAGACGTGCGGAGAAATCGAGAGTTTTGGGCGCCAAAGGTCGCTCTGCGATCAGTTCTTCTGGATCTGCAGTTGGGAGCCTTTTCACGCTGAGACCTTTTCTTAGCTCTCCAAGATCCTTTCTAATTTTGTGATCTTACATACTTTTTTGTAACATTTAATGCATAAATGTAAAGTAGAGTTCAGTGAATTGCCAAATGTTTTCAAGTCTAGTATTGACACTCGCTATTAGCTCAATTGATATACCAAAAATCCGCACTATTTCTTTTTCTTCAACTGTTGCTGAACACAGAAAACATCCAGATGTACTACAAATTTTTTTGGCGTTCCATCTATATAAATCTACAAAAAGTGACATATTCATATTTAATTAAACCGAACAAAAGACTTTGAAAGATGTTTCCCGGTAAATTCACACATAATTTCGCACATTCTGATGGTTGATCGCAAATAATGGTTAAATGTCCATTTGCTGAAGAGTACAAGGGCAGTGGAATTTTTAGGCCGGATGAATTGCCGTTAGKRGAGAATGACTTGGGAACGAGCCTCGTAACAGCTGCGAAAGAAGGCTATTTTAATCACAACACAGATTTATCACGATACCAACATCTTTTATTTTAGATTTTAATTATTTCTTATTACCTCTACTGACAGACATAGCCATTGATTGTCTTCGTCTTTGCCTATGACGTATTGCCTCTTTTACCTAAACAGTAATTTCACATGTCATTTTATATTGGATATATTGCTTCAAGCATTGCACTGATGCAATCCTCATTATGTACAAATAAAGTGCAATAATTTTTTTTAGAATGGATAAATTTCATTCAGACTTCAATAAATAAATTATAATGGTAATTTTTTCTCAAAATGTTTAAAAAGTAAAGTAATAATCTAGAATGCTGGTAATGTGTTTACAATTATTGTTAAAAAATTATTTAAAAATTTAAAAATACAACATATAAAATATATTAAAGTTATGTAGTAATCTAGAATGCTAATAATATATTAACAATTATTGGCAAAAAATTATATATGAAATACATTAAGATCCAAATCTAATTAAGTTATGCGATGGCATTGCCTACAGAGAAGTCTATATTACGAATGCTGTAATACTCCATGAGACTACAACATAGCTCACACACTTTATTTCTCTTCGGATTCGCATTGCATTATTCGCATTGCATTATTGGTACAATACACAACATCCCTCCTTTTCCTTTTTTTTAACACTATCAAAATAAAATGTCAACAGTTAATATCCTCAAGTGAGGCAAAGTTTCTAATGTGCAACTGTGCACATAGCCCATAGTCCTTTAATCTTTCTGGCACTCTTGTTTCTCTTCTGGGTCGTTCAATTGCGCCAGTTTCCACTGCTTTGACTGGTTCTTTTTTCTTCTCTCGTGCGTAGGCATTTTAAAAGTGGGTCTTTCTAAAAGTTTGGTGTTAACTTCCCAGTTACAACTAAACAGTCTTTGTTTCTTTCACAAGAACTTTATCTCCAAGGCTAATGTTGCTGGAAATTGCTCCCCTTCTCCGGTCTTGCTGTGTCTTACTGCTTTGTCTGCAGTTCCACTCTCTGTCTCTAACACTTTCGTCCACAGCTCTCAGCGTCTGAGTCTATTTTGGGCCACCATACCGGCTGTTCGTTTTCACAATACCTTGATGCCCCTCATGTGCTACTTTAAGGACTTGCTCTCGCAGGCTTTTTGGAATAACAATTCCTGAGCCTCTCATCACAAGCTTCCCTAACACACATCCTTGACATGTAAATAATTTGGTAGCTTACATTCAGTCCAGTCTCCAGACTGTATATACTTCCTTATACTCTCCAGCTCGGGGTTTTTCTCAGATTCCCGTTTAACTTCTCTTGGACCCATGGCACAGGGAGTGTTCTCAGTTGCAATCATTCGAATGAAATCTTCGGTCTCGATCCTTTCCATTTGCCTGGTTGAGTCTTGAGAGACAATCTGCAATGTTGGCTTTTCCTGGACGGTATACTACATGATACCTGTACCCTGCTTCCGTAACACCCATCTCTCAATACGGGCAGACATCTTGRAGGTTCTGCTGAAGATACACTCCAAAGGCTTGTGGTCTGTTTCCAGCTCAAATTCACGACCATAAACATATATGTTAAATCTTTTGCATGACCACACTAACACCAAAGCTTTTTATTCTGTTTGAGAATATCGTCTCTCCACATCGGTCAAGTTCCTAGATGCATATGAGACTGCTCTCCATTCGCCATCTTGACATTGTAGTAGGACAGCTCCAATTCCAGTTGGACTAGCATGAGCAACTATACGTGTCTTGCACTCATTCCTGAAGTAGGCTAGCGCTTCGGCATTCGTCACCAAACGCTTTTTAAAGTTAAAACTCCTGAAATGACTCCTCCTACTCTTTACCCCATGTGAATGGCTGTTCCTTCGCATTCACCACCGCAGCAACCTTTTCTTCGCCTGCAGACACTCCTCTTCCACTCAGCTCATGACCAAAGTAAGTAAGCTTTGTCTCTGGTCAGACTTTTGTCTTTCAATCGTTGCAGGACTATCTCCATCAGACTTGGGTTGTATCACTAGAGGTAACACCCACCCTGTAGCTTCTTAGAGTATACAGCTTATCAACGCTTGGAGGTCCGACTCTTAACACCTTGAGTTTCCCAGCTGTTGTCTTTCCGAGTAGGTTCCTTGCTTTTCCTCTGACTACTGTAACGTATCATTGCAGCTTGAATTGCTGCTATCACAAGTAATTTCAGCAGTTAATGAACCAAGAATATCCAGGGGCTCTGTTTGGCCAAATGCAAACAACTTCTTTTCAGTCTTCTGTGAATGACATTCTACTCTTTGCCTCTTTAAATTGCTCAAGGTTTCATCTACAAAATTACAAGTTGCACCTGAATCAATAAGGAAATCAGCTACCWGTACTCCACCAATACTCAGATCTACATGGCCATCCTGTTTTATCTTGTTATCTCCGACTGTAAATGCGCAGGAATCTAACTGGTAGGTCCTCTTCTTTCATCTGGTTTTGCCTTAGTTCTGCAGCAAATAGCGAAGTGTGCTTTATTGTGGCACTTGCTGCACTACTGGGCATAGTTTGCTGTTTGATAAGTGGTCTTCCTTATTGTACCTGTAGCATCTCCTTTTGTCACCGACTTTATTCATTTTCTCTCGTTGCTGTATCTTTTTCGTTTTTACTACATTCATTTAGATGTCATCGATATTTCTTCCGCGGTACGAATCTGCATTGTGGTGAAACATCTAAGATCTTTGTCGATCCCAGAATCCTCTGGCGTGAATATTTAGGCGGGCATCATCTGATTCGTTGGCTCGATTGTTCAGGATTTCTTCAGTTAATGTCTGGAGAATTGGCTCAACTTCAACCTCCTTGCACACTGTTCCTAACAGATCGGCACTCATTCATTGTGGGCTATATGATGAAGCCTCCTTCCTTCCATATCATAGCAAATTTCGATTCGATTCCACTCAAATTTTCACAGATGTATTAGTGATTATCGATATCTTATTTATAGATCTTATTTATAGATTAATTTGCCAAAAATATGGAAGCTATTTAGACAATCAATTCAAAATATAAACACTGTCAATATTCTCAAAACTCATCTCAGAGATTGTAATAAAATTTTCAGAGTCATTTCTTAAAAACATAATTGACATACTGTCGAAGTTTGAATGAAATCTTAACCTAAATTTTCGAGATATCTGAGCATTTCAAAATGTTTCTCAAAACGACGAGGCCATGTTTAAAGTCCTCGTTTGCGACAATATTCGAATGTTAAATGAAACAATTACTATAGCTTGAAAGCTTAATCTTTCGTACAACTGTTGTCCAAATCAAATGCTTATTGGTTTACTACGAAAAAGGTTATTGCCATTTACGCAACTAGTATATTTTAGAAATTTAAACAACTTCATTTCGGAACGTAAAAGAATATTTCCTCCTCAAAATATTAAGAGTAATCGCTCAAATAATCAAATTTCCATCACCAACAAATACTGCCAGCTATATTTGAGCTTCTGAAAGGGCTACATTACGAAAAAAATAATTTTTGAAAGTTTTTGACTTCCATTATCCAGCAGCTCGTGTGCGTTTATTAACATATCAGGTATTTGCTAACTTCGCATGCGTTTTAAATAGATTCAGAATAAATTACAATGAAATATAAAGCAAATGCAAAGCATTCTGCCAACGAAATCCTTGCTAATACAGTTGGTAATGTATTGGACTATCGATCCAGAGGTCAGTTGTTCAAACCCGGACGAAGGTAAGCTTTATTCGAGAATAAAATAAAATAAAATGAAATAAATAATATGTAAAGTCTAAGAGGGGTTGGCAAAGGGAATGTTGTGTAATTGGAGGAGAAAAGAAAGATGTAAGAAATACCTTAACCAAAAAATATTTGCAACTACAACATGTACATCTACTTATATGAAGGTTGGTGTTCTTGATTTAGAATGCACTGCACTAAGGGCTCAGTAACAGTGATAGAGGCTCGGCAATGAGAATATGACGCTTGGCCGGGATAATTAAACATCCTATACGTATTTGGACTGCAAGCATGCAGGTCACGTTCATCCATAGTAAATTGATGATCGGTGTCGGTATCACCGATCGCATGTCAGTGATATTAGGTAGTGTTCTTATAAAATACGTCCAATGGTGACGTAGACCAAAGATGATCATGACTGGGGCATAGTTCGCTTTCCTCTAGGAAAGATCTACTTCTTAGGTCTGCCACAAGATGCTTATGGCCTTCAGATGTGATGTTTATTGTAGTATGTTTACAGATGTTCATTGTAGTGGGTTAGATGTTATTTTTCTTTACTACATCTTACCTTATTATCAAGTATGCAGTGGAAGATGAATATAAAGACACCCTGTAGTGAGTTGAACACTGCAAACAGATATTTGAATACAATTGTATTGGAATCGAATGCCAAAAGACCAAACAACCATGTAACTCCCAAGAGAGGCAAGATTACGAATGCTGCTCTTAATCCCAATCGTAAGCGCTCTACTTTTGGTTTATTTTTGATTTGTCGTATTCTTAGCATTCGTCTCATTGTTAATACCAGTATCCATGTATTGACCTGAATATAATGTAAGAAAGGGTAAGGATTTTCAGTTTACTTTTCTACAGTAGTAATGTGAACATCTCAAACCAAATTCACACACCCCTGCTTATACAGATGTTATAAGCTATTAGGCAATTAATCCCCTTAATCTGATAAGTCAGCTGAAACGGTTGAACGTTATGATACTTGCAACTGTCTTTATATCATATTTAACCTTTAATCCATAACTCTTTTGGTTCTTAAATTGACGTTGTTTAGGTTGGTTCTACTTAACTAATTTTGGGTTAGTTACCAAACGGTATGACTTACCAATACTATAAACACTGCTGGAGCTACAAAGGCAAAAGAAAGCCCATTCTTTGTAGATAACCAGCATAGCACATTCTTTTCTCCATATCCATCCATTTGAGTTGCACCTAGACTTATTGAGACAATCATGGCTGGAAAACCTGAAAAAAGTGTATGTATATGAAATATGACCATCAGTTTTAATCTTGAGATTTTAAATTAAATGTAAAAACATTTTGAAACAAAAAGAAATCAGCTGTAATTATAATAAAGCAATTTTTGACTCAGGCACTCCTCATGTCTAATGGCAAGCCATGATATTTAATAAAACACAAATATTGTTTTCAAAACAATTAATGAATATGTAGAAAMAAATGAAAAAAAATTGCATTGAGAAGTATTTGGTTTCCCTGATTGGAGCAAATGCACTCGATAACTCAAGCAATGTTCATTCGATGATTAAAAATTCAATATTCATATGATAACTCAAAGTGCAAACTTCATTTGACAGCTCAAGCAGTATTCATTCCATAGCTCAAGCATATTTCATTCAATTCATCAATGTCCATGATATTTTCAACCCGTTTCCACAACTCGTTGTTCAGTCCTTTGAGGAAGTCTCAGACATGATTTTTTGGATAGACACTTCAGTTTAAGCTCTTTACAGGTTTTAAAAACGTCTTGTTAGGTACGTTTTTTCCCGGGGGCCCGGGCGTTTTTTATTAGGGGAAACCATCGTATACACGATAATGTATATTACTGAAAAACACTAGATAGAAGATTTGAGGTAAGGCTTGACAAGTTTCCCATTGCGTTATCTTGAAGGATTACGGCGTCGATATTGTTTTACAGCATAGTATTGCTGTTGGCTTTCTGAATGGCCTGCTGAATACTGCCTATGTGATGGTCTGTTGCTTATGTCCGATCAGTTTTCCTGTTTTGAATGTTTAGATAGCAGTAGTTTCAGCTTTTCCTGGATCCTTCATCAACCTTATTAATTGTCTAAAGTCTTTATTTTGCAATTTACAACAAATTTTCTAACTCAATGTAACTTTTTCTCTCTTGCAAACTGCAAACGAAACTATATTGAATCAATTTCAAGGCTTCTATATTGGAAATAGGTCACGTGTAGTATCCGATCAGTTTCCACAGACCGCCTGCCAACATTGTGAACTTTGCTTGAGTTATAGAACGACTATCGGTTTAATTATCAATTTAATGTCRATCGATGAGCTATCGAATGGGTTTGCTCCAATCATCAAATGAGTTTAGGAAAAACCGAATACATAGATTGTTAGAAAAGGAAAAGTTGATGTTTTGACAAGTTTTGGACTTTTTTAAAGAGTTAAAATAGAGAAATTKAAAGAATAAAATAAATGATATTTTACCCCATCCTAAAATGTAGAACTGCTTCAATTTGCTTCTTCCAGATCCAGTGATATCACTAAAGAAGACAAGACGCAGGAGGAGACCTTCGCAAAGCATCCAAGAAAAAATAGAAAGAAGGAAGAAGTGAAGTAGTGTTGCTATTATTGAACACACTGCCTAAAAAAAGAACCATATTGACATAAAGTCAGTCATGTTTGATGTCAGATTTGTATTTTTTGTGATGTGCGGATCASAAACATCTTTTTTAATATCACAGCTGGAATTTTTTTTAATGTAATGTCTCTGTTCTAAACAAGCACGTTATAGTTTAATCAGTGAGATCTTTAAATTACATTTACCTTGTTTTCTCGAGCAGGACTCTCGATTATAACCAATATGCACACCACACCAATGGCTAAGCACATGTTTAATAGTATTTCTGAGCGAGGAGATTTAAGTTTTTTCCAGTGGAATAAAGTGATTGCAAACGTAACTGTTACAGCAATAAGTGATATTGAACAGCCAGCCAATGAAATGATTTCTAATCCAATTCGATGTTCTTTGGTAATCTAGTCCAAATAAGGATAATTACTTTAGCAAAGGGAACTTTTTGATATTAAAACTTTTTAACACGAAGATGAGAAAGTTTTCGATCTTTGAAGATAACTAGATATTATTAGCTATTTTAGTGTTTCCAATGGAACATTTTGAGAGATGAATTATACAAACTGTTAAAARATGAATCATTGATCTCCTGTCATATTAACAACTTTGTCTTAACCCCTTTCAAGTATGCGACTGGAAATGAAATCATTAAGTTCTTTGAAGTTTTACTAAATGACAACTGTGCGCTCTTGATGCCCTTATCAGTAGTAATAAGTGATTCTTATGAACTGCGTAATTTTGAATTTCATGTAAAACTGTAAAATAGACTATCACGGTCCCTAGTGACCTTGTAAAGCTTGAAGAACATTTGTTAGCAATACATACCTTGCTTCCATAGGGATCCATCAAGGCAGCAAATAGCGTCATGTGATAACAAATACAAGTTGTAACATCTTGACCAGAYTCTTCAGGAACTAGTCGGCAACCATCACGTGACCATTCCTCTTTAGAAGTACCTGGAGTCCATGAAACACAAGTGATATTGGCKCCGTCCTTGGGATAGTGCTGAAAGTTACGTTAAATGTCTATTATTTATTCCATGATTTTTTCAATCTTTTTTTCACGTTTAAAAACATGAAAAGATATTTTAATGGGCAAAAAGATACGAAATGAACATTAATTGAGTTATCAAGGGAACGATGGCAATTGTCAGGTTTCGGTTGAGGCTCGTTTAATTCATCGAATTAACAATGAAATATTTTTGATTTATCTACCACTACGTTTTTCATGATCATCTTGATTGGACGTTTAAATCGGCAACGTTTTCTGGGAAACACTGAACTGGAAATAATAGCCGTACTAGACCACAGATCTTCTCKTTTATTCAGTGGATGTTTTCCATTRCTTTTAAACTGCAGCACGTTATTAAGGTTGAGGTAGATAATTGTAACCAACTTTGAGCTGTTGTTCTCAAAGAGTTCTTGAATGGGAACTTGAACTGAAGTGTTGCTGAACTTGAAATRTATATCTCGTTGGTTGTATTTCAGCTGTTGTAAAAGTAATGTTTTTTATGTTGGCGTTAATAATTAGTAATTTAGTAATTGTTTTGAGATAAGGGGATTTTACAGTTACAAGCATGAGACATTTACAGGTAATATAATTGACTATTTATGCAATATGTCGCGTGCGCGAAACTATATTTTCCAAGGCACCCTGGGCTGGTTCTTTTATTAGTAATGCTTGAATATAAACTTAAACAGCTATCTAATCTGACAKCTAATGGGTCGTACAAGAAAGTATTAAAGCTAATCTTCAAGGTAATGATATTAAAAACAAGAGGCAATTGGAGTTTTCAGCCTGAAATGTTTCTTATGGAGGGATGGTGAAAATTAAAAACTGATAGGTTCTTATAGATGTACTTTTTTCTGTTCTTTAATGATTACCTGTTGGCCAATATGATCGACTTTCATGACTACATTGCCAGCCGAAATCAGTAYTGACGTGTTGCTCTTGCTTGACAAATTTTTGGAAATTGAAAACCCAATATTCTCCATGAGCGTCGCAACTTCAAGAGCTAGATTCCTTTGATATTCCTAAAATAAGACAATATGGAAGAAACTTGTATACACTCTTCATAATTTACAAACAAGATTATATATGTAATATATTCCTTTTCTCTTCTATTTATATTTGTAATATTTTTTTCGTACATTCTCTTTATAATTTACCAATAAGATTATATATATAATTCAGTTCTTTTTCCTTGTATTTATATTTATGATACAGTGTCCTGTCAGGGAATAGTTTTAACT